AACTTCGATCGAGAGGTCAATCGACGGATTCAACTCGGTTGGGCAGCGTTCGGGAAATTACGGCACATCTTCTCGTCAGGTATACCTCAAAACTTGAAAACGAGACTGTACACCCAGTGCGTGTTGCCAGTGATGACATACGGAACTGAGACGTGGTCCTTCACTGCTGGCCGGATGAGGAAGCTCAAGGTCGCTCAGCGAGCTATGGAGAGGGCTATGCTCGGAGTTTCTCTGCGTGATAAACTCAGAAATGAGGATATCTGCAGTGGAACGAGAGTGACCGACATAGCCCAACGGATTAGTAAGCTGAAGTGGCAATGGGCCGGCCATATAGCTCGAAGAACCGACAACCGATGGGGAAGAAAGGTTCTCGAGTGGCAGCCTCGTACCGGCAGGCGAAGTGTTGGGCGTCCCCCCACTAGATGAAGTGACGACCTGGTAAGACATGCAGGAAGTCGATGGATGCAGGTGGCTCAGGACCGTGCTTTTTGGCATTCCTTGGGGGAGGCCTATGTTCAGCAGTGGACTTGTGAAGGGCTGTAATGATGATGATAATGATGAAAACCGTCAAGTTTTGCTCTATGCCAATACCTAATTATATACATTACTTTACTACGTATTGGAGCGGTGCTACCAAATCATCGCTTCTGCTGCTAGAAAGAGCACAAACGTTAATCTTTAAAATAATTATCTATCCCCCTTCTCTTTAAATTTTCAACTAATAAACTACATATATAAAATTTCCAAATTGTTTACAGACCGGCAACTGTTCATTTTATACACTGCAAAAAAAATGATATGATATTCACTGTATTGAAATATGTATAACCAAAATAATTCACTGCAGTTAACAGGCATGTCATGTGTTGTATCGAGACCGTGTGTGTATTGTATTATGTAATATGTACATACAACAATATACTATTATAGAAAAAAAAACACGAATTATTAATAAATTTTACTATGTAAGTCGAAGGTATGCCTAAAATGGTCTAAATTTTGTTTTATAATGTGAGAGCGAAGTGATGGATTCTGATGGATGGATCAGGATAAAGATTACATTTCCTTTTTTTTTGGGTTTTAATGAAAGATGAACTAAATGCATTGACTTGTTAGGAGACTATGTAGAAAAATAAATGTTTTTTTAACTATAATCACCGTGTTTAATATTCATTATCATTACTATTGGATCACCCCTCGCATGTCTATGTTTAGCAGTGAGCCCAACCGCAATAGCTCGAAATTGATTGCAATGTCAGAAACAGACACATGGTAACATATTGGATCACAATAAACAATTTGTGTTTTGAACGAATATTGTCTAAGGCTAGATTTTTAACTTATGAACTGCTTCGAATCGACTCTTGTTTGAGAACACAAGAGTCTGGTTACAAAGTCGACGCGGTCTCTAAAGTACAGTAATAAAAAAATTTACATAAAGACGTTCTGATTTTTTTTTGTTACATGGATGGAATGTTTGTAGATATTGTCTCTATTAATGGTTATATAATTAACTTAAGGCCACTACATACTCCTAATGATAGTTGTATGACAGGTCTCTAATGTACAATAACAAAGCAATTACCGTCCTAACTGACCTACATCAATACATTATGAATCAGAAATTAAAGTGCGTTCAATCTCGCCGTTTCAACTTTGATTAATTGAAGGGCTTTGATTATCTTTCAAGAAGTAATGTTTTAAAATACAATTATCAATTAACAATTTCACTGGTGCCGGTATAGGTCGAACCCAGGTTGCTCGCGTACAATAAAATTTACATAGAACACTTGCGCCCTGGCGGCAGAAACAGGCAAGAAGGTAAGGGATGAGGGTAGTACCAACTAAGACGGACTTCTAAGTAGAAAAGAAGCTACATAACCTCAATAATTAGTGTCCGGTTATTAAAATAATCATTTGAAGTTTGTTTGAATTCTGTATCTCGTTTCTTTAATCATGGTAAGGACACTTTCTAAGAGAGATTATGGAGTAGAAATCTGCCTCTAATTACATTATTTTAGGCCATGTAGTTTTTCTTTGTGTCCACAACTGTAATTGAAAAATTCATTTCAGTTTTGAAGTTATACGTCTTTTGGGGCGTTTGGGAAAAATGATGAGAGTGAAATTTGAAATTTTTACGATGGGCGCGCACACCGACTCCTAAAAACGACACCATGAAGTTGTTTCGATGCGCGCTCACACTGACACCTAAAAACGACAACGGGTTACTGTCTCTCAAGTTTTTGTGGGAACTGATAACTATATTTAAGATAGTTATTTTTGTTTCGTTACATTAAAGAAGTATAATTTCCTACGTGCGTACACACACACACACACACACACACACACACACACACACACACACACACACACGCGCGCGCACGCACGCACGCACGCACGCACGCACGCACGCACGCACGCACGTACGCATGCGCACACACACACACACACACACACGTTTTTTTTTCTTAAATACAAATTACATGTGCAAACATCCGAAAGATATTGTTGTTATTATGATTGAGAGCGAAGGGGCATACAGAAATAGAACATACCGAGACTGCAGAAATGCTACTCGATCCTCTTAACATTGTCACTATCAAGTTTAGTTGATTGACCACTACGGCTTTGCCTTTGAATTTATTTATCACTTATATATGTTTACCTTTATCTTAGAAATTCAATATTGTGCACACATGTACATATACATAATAATATAATAAACATTTATATAACATTTTTGTTTGTTCGTATTTTATGCGCTGCTATACTGTTCATCAGATTGCGATAAAACTTTGTCAATATCACTTCCGCAAAGGTTAACTTAGTAGGTGGTGCACGTGTCGTATCGACAATTTTATTTCAAAGTTATATATCATTCAACTTCAATGAATGTAGTATCATTCCCGATTAAACAATATAAGAATAGAAGTACGTTTTACATTATAACTCAATGGAATAGAATAAAATATTTTTCATTCAATATTGATTACAAGTAATTCTTAATGAAAGTATTTTTTTTTACTTTACCATTAATTCGAAAAAAATCCCCTGTCCTGGGAATAACCAGCAAGAAATCAAGCGGGACTATTTTTTTAATTACTCTTCCAAAAACTATTATGCCACAATTACAATTTACATAATTATCATAATTATTGCAAATTTACAAATAAAAACGGGAAAGAAATAAAAACGCGGAAGAAGAAAAAACCGGCCAAGTGCGAGTCGGACTCGCGCACCGAGGGTTCCGAATAAATCCGTAGGTATATAAGTTTAAACTAAAAATTTATGCTTTTTGCAATTTTTCCTTTATCTGTGCTATAATACGTTGCTTCGTACCAAATTTTAAGATTCTGAGTTCACGGGAAGTACCCTGTAGGTTTTGATTCCCTTGCGAATGTCGAAAATTTGCGGCATAAACGGCTGTATCTTTTCATTGCGTTGGCTTAAAGGTTTGATTTTTTCACAGCTCCAGTAGACTTAAGTATTTGATATGAATTTCAGCTTGATACATCCACGCGTTCCTGAGAAAAAGGGTCTTGACAGACAGACAGACTGACGGACAACAAAGTGATCCTATAAGGGTTCTGTTTTTTCCTTTTGATGTACGGAACCCTAAAAGGAGTAAAAATAGTAGAGCTATACGTATGTACGTTAGACTACTTTGATTGCAGTTCGGATAGCCAGGGGAAGAACCACGCTCTTACAAATTATCAGCGTAATTTATTCCGGAACATTATGTTCCTGTGGGACTATTTTATTGGTAACTAGGCATTTTTAGTTCCTTAGGTATAAACTAACAATGCATCTGCATTTAGATTCTTGATTGAAGGTAGATACAGGTGTATTTGTTTTTGTATTAGGTCACAGCCACCTTTTTAAGAGACGTACGATCAGGTGACTTCTGATACGTGAAAGATCTAAATATCGTTCTTAGAGTGTTTAGTCGAAACTCTTTAACTAGGTCGTAGGACTGCTTTACTATCGAGGAGTCCGTTTAGATGGGAACCATCCTCTTACCTATTTGTAATTTGTGCCGCCAAGCAGCAGTGAGTGTTCCGGTTTGTATTATACAACATGTAACAAAAACCCTGTGGTTCCCGTTAAGTACGTTATCAGGATCAGTATTCAAACCTACAGAAATAACTTTTTTTTTAAAACTGAACCATATTTTTTTTAAATATTTATGTGGTTTTATTATCTCTTACTGATACTAGCCGATGCTAAAGCTAAGTAAAGGTGGGTCTTTGACAATCCCCTTATTCCCCAAACCATGCAGAGGTAATAAAACAACATACAATTTGCATACAATTTGTTTTGAAATAAAATAAAAAAAAATATTGCTCGAGTTTTAAAAAAAAAAGTTATTTGTATACGTCTGAATAATGATCCTGATAACGTACTTAACGGAAACTACAGGGTTTTTGTTACATATTGTATAGAGAGCTAATATAATTACAGGCTTGACAATGCTTCCGTTGCCTTTTCTACTTCAAAAAGGAGACGGTACTCAATTAGACTGTATGTTTATTTTTATGTGTGTATGAGGTACATAACTTTTTTCTTGGTGTACCGATTTCGATCATTCTTTTTTTTTATTTGAAAGCTGGTGCTTCTCATGTGGTCATCTGGTAAAATTGATCAAGGTCTGACCAATAGTGTTTGAGTTATTCTTAATAATTTATATTAGAGTCGGTTGTACAAAATTTTTAAATTTAAGTTATTTATTAGCAATTTGTTGCAATTGCATGTGCTTTACTTTCTGTCTTTGGATTGCAGTAGTCACTTACTGATCTTCATAGTTTAACTTGAACTTCATAGTTGCAGTTGAAATTTCAGATCGTATTTCACTGAAGTTTAAAGAAAAATAAGTTTGTTCACCCATCGCCTCCTCTTGTTACACCTACAGTTGACGCCTACAAAAACAAACATTTGTCGGTGATAATGGATTGTCTTAACATTGAAACTACTTAAAATTAAACTTCCTACATTTGTTACAGATGCTGCAGGAGAAGCGTCTATGCATACTGGGCGCTGAGCTCTCCGAATTGGATATATTCGAGCGACTCCTACGCTTCACCGGCGCACAGCTCCGCCTACTGCAGTGCTTTCAGGTGAGGTGAAAAAAATCTTCGCTAAGGTGTGCGAATGGAACGACTGTCGACTGCCTCGTTGGTCTGGAGGTCGTAAACGTTGTTGCTAATCATGAGGTCCTGGGTTCGATTCCCGGGGTCGGGCCAAAATCAGTTATTGTGTTTTTTTTTCAGGAAATTCTCAGTCAGCAGTCAGGAAGTTGTTTCGGTGTTTTCACCCCCCTTCCTCGGAAAGCATGTAAAAGCCACTCTTGTACCTAATCTCTCTTCGGTCGTGTCTGATTACCATCCCGTTGTATTATGAGAGTGATGAAATAGTGCACTAAATCCGTCACCACTGATCTCAACGCCACTACACTTCACTAGGAAAGACACACGACTACGACAGACGACAGACGACTAGAAAAGACACATACACGATAATACGACACGTGTTTCGCCTCTAAACGAGGCATCATCGGGAGAAGAAGAAAATGCTGACCTCTAATTCCTTACAAAGACGGCCAGACTAATAGTTACCATATTTCGCCGCATACTTTGTTTTAGGAGAAATGAGAAATACATATATCGCTAATGCTAAGCTCTTAGAAATGTAAACACACCCATAACAAGTCAGATTAAATGTGTAGTGTATATGTAGCGGCATGAAAGTCTAGCGGTGGTTGCGCATAAGTCGCGCGATTGACTTATCTATACATATAATAAAACTGTAAATAGCAGATGTCTGTACATTTTATATTTTTGTAATAAAAGTGATTGAGGGGTACTAAAAATAAGTAATTAAATACATTTCTACCATTTTTAGAATTTTCTGTCTGTCTGTCTGTCTGTCTGTCTGTCTGTCTGTTTGTTTGTTAACGTATCACGTATAAAGTACTAATTTATATCATAAGAATTGTTAAGGAAATTATAAAGTGTATCTTCGGGTTACATTTAGTCTTTATTTCATTAAAATCAGTTCATTCCATCAAAAGTTATGATAAATATTCTGAAGTATGGGTAGGGAAGTATAGGTACGAATTTGCTCAACGGTGGCTTTGTTTGAGTCATCAAGTGCATTTTAAACTAATATCATATCATAAATCATAGTTAAATTATGTAAAATAATGATATAATTATGTATATCTAAAACGCAGTAAACAAAAGTAATAAAGAACGTATTAAATATATTATACAAAAATATATTAACGTTATTAACTAAATCTGAAGCACAATAGTTAACCCATTTCTTCGATAGATGGTGGTGTTGTGAAAATGTAAAGCAATTGCAAATGTCGTTTTTACCTGTAGATGAGTTTTCATATTTACTGCTAATCTTTATTATATTATTCGCTGCCCTACTGCGTGTTGACAAACTCAATTTGTTCTTTACCGCCGAGTACTCTATGTGGTAAATCAAATTTTAAAAGAGCTATTACCCATTGCATTGGTTTTGGCGAGAGTCAAACTTTATTTTTTGCTTACTGTGCAGGCACTGATTTATGAGTTCTCTTACGTTTTATATAATGTATCAATCGCGTTAATTAATCTCTTTTATTTTTAGAATTGATGATGTTAGCAGCGCCATCTCTCTTTAAATATATACATATAATAAAAATAATGATAACATGTGTCTCTTTCTGTACATTGTATATATATTTTGGTGGCTAAAATCATTATGATGAACTGAAAATAATTAAATAAGAAAATTTTATAATTTTTAGAATTGTCTGTCTGTCTATTTGTCTGTTATTATATGAACGCATCACGTCTAAAGTAAACATCTTTTATTTTCAAAGAAATCGTTAAGAATATCATAAAGCGTATCTTCGAGTTACATTTAATCTTTGTTTTATTAAAATTGGTTAATTATATCGAAAGTAATGATTATTATTTTGAAATGTAGGTTCGAATTTGTTCAATGGCGCCATAAAATCTCAGAAATAGTAATAAAAAGATTTCTGTGTAAAAAAAACGTTCCATAATAATTAATATATTTATACTTAAAACACAAAAAGAGATAGGATGTTTTCTCACACAAAGGACGTAATAGATGGAGTTGTACAAATTACAAACTTTTCTGAATTGCAGTGTTGAGATTTTTCGGCGATGAATCGTATTGAGACTTACTGAAGAAATTTGTATCCAACAAAGCCATACAACGGAACCTTGCCAAAAATAAAAACTCCGCAACTAAATGTCGCGATATTGTATTTATAATATACGCAAAATTAGAACTGCCATTTTAGCGCTTTGGGAACTAGATTTAGCACTTTTATGGAGTGTATAGCGCGCATTTCGAAATTTTAGCACCTAGCTCTTAATCCAGCGCTTTTTGGTGTATTTAGCACACATTTCAATATTTTAGCGAATAGCGGGTTATTAACTCTTTTATAGCAGCACTGTTAGTCCACATTACCGATAATAATAATAATGACCTTTATTATTTTTTCCCACAAATAGTACATTGCAGTTTATCTTTTTCAAACATATTTTTTCCACAAAACAAAGAGCATGGGAGACGAGTCCAAACTAGGATACCCTGTGCTATGGATCTCCTGGCTTCCCCTTTAGAATGATCAACTTGATTTTTTTACCGACAACTATAAGCGGGGAAATCCCCTTTATTAAAGTTTTCGTTCATGGTTTTGGCAACGCATTTATTATGCTTTATTCAGTTTCAGTCAGTTGCTTAGAGCACAGCTAAGTTAAAAGTTACTTAGAAGTTATAACACAAAGAAACTGTGTAGCAACCGCAATCAGATGCTGACATCTGAAACTAAGTTGCGAAATACATTGCACTTTAAAACAATTAATGACATTTTTATTGTTCGTACAGTACTAACTACTGTTGACAGCAATTGCTATAATTATAAGTCGATGTCCTGCGAAGTATTGATACATCAAAAAAATATTGCCAGAAAAAAAACTTAATGTTGTTTTCTTTATTATGATTATATAAAAAAACACAAACTTTGTTTGTAGTTAATTTAGCGCGAAATCTAGGGCTTTTTTAAAGCGCTGTTTTCATGAAATCTAGCGCTTTTTGTGTTGTCCTAGAGCTGTATGAGTTTTTTTTATCTGGCAGCACTGCCCAAAAATCCTCTATTAAGATGTAACTTTCCTTTCAGTTTTAAGCGCGTTCAGTTCCCAGTTACAGTGAATGTGTGTTATGCGATGACCGTAAATAAAGCGCAAGGTCAAACTTTACGCGTTGTAGGAGTGTACCTCAGTACTGACTGTTTTGCACATGGCCAACTCTATGTTGCTTTTTCCCGCGTTAGTAGCCCCCGTAACCTTTTTGTGTATACCCCGGCTAAGCCTACTCCTAACGTCGTTTACACAGAAGCTCTATCATAAACGACTTAGAACTTTGATGATAATGATTTATTTTTTTACCACTTATTGATACAGTAATGAAATAAATCGTTTAATATTCTCTTACCTAAACGACAAATTCTTTATGTAAAACATGTATACGCGAGCTACGCCGCGGGCACAGCTAGTTATGAATAAGTCGCGCAGATTGGCTCTTGCATATCGTTTGCACGCGCCGATTGGCTCTCCAGTCGCATTCGTGTGCGTCCCATCCACATTTTGTTCAGCGCTAGACTTACGTGCCGCAACTTGTATGTAGTAGCTGACTCTGTAGGGGCGTTGTAAGAATATTCGCTAACGTATATCGTCCCGTGGGTAGTCGTAAGAGGCGACAGAGGGAAGAAAACCTAGAGAAGGGAAGCAGCGTTTTCCTAATAACAACTATAAGATAATAAAATTGCGGTTGCCAAGCGTGGCAACTATGGCAAATATTTACCTTATGAGGCAATGTGTGGGGAGACTTTTGTTCAGCAGTAGACATTGATGGGCTGTGACAATGGTGATGATGATATAGTATTGTTTTTATTACTCAACTAGAGCGACCTTATCTGCTCAAGTTCCATTGCAATCGGTTCAGCCATTCTTAAGATTAGTCCGGACATGCACACAGATTTAAAAAAAAAACTGATTATTGTATATAGTGCATGTAAATAACCCCCTCCGCTCAAGAAAAGGTAGTTATTTCGATATTACACACCGACACATATTACACTCTTATTTTCTCACTCACTCTTATTTTATGTGTGGAAGAAGAGAAGGCTGACCGTTAATAGCGATGTATACGCTTTTACAACAATTTGTCAGAAAATATATAAAATTTGACCCGCTCAAAGTTCAAAAACTTTATTAAACAAAGTTTGTATAAGATAAGTTAGTATCTATTAAGGAATTTATGGATGATAATATCCTCTGAGGAATCCTAAGGCGATCGCTGCCAAGCTATTTCTTATTTGTTTTGTGTTGTTAATTTTGTTACATTTATGAATGTAAACTGCTTTTTTTAAATTCCCGCTGGGTGTTTTTGCTGGTTTTTCCCAATACAAAGGTGTATTTTCCAATCCAGTGGTAAATTAAATTAAAGTAAATTTATTGATATTACACTTTAGCTGGTTATTTGACTAGTAACCGGCTGGCATACTATAAAATTATAACAGTACTGTGAAATTTACAGCCAGAGCTTAGTCTTTGAGCTACCTTTTCAATAAAAACATTACAATAATCACTCTTACATATTATATATTTTATTTCGTAATTTAATAGTTAATTAAAAACTTATTTAGCAGGACTTGATTATTTCCGCAACAAAAAACTTGCATATAAATTTTATTAAAATCGGATAAACCTTTTTTCTTTTGCCTTTAAGTATGAATGATATAATTTAATATTAAAAACATATCACAAACGTTATGTCCAGCAGAAAACTTTTCCCGACTGTAGAGCCACGCTGCAGCTATATTATGGTTGTAGCACGAATGGGTCGCGGCTCGACCGGAAAGAACTATGCTCTCACAGAATACCAGCTTAAAATAGAGTGTAGAAAACCGGAGTCCCCTTTTTATGTAAACGAGGCATTCCATCTTAGTCCACAGGGGAGATAATGCATCTACATGTTGATTCATCCACGATAAAAGTAAATGTTTACGGGTCTCAGCATCCACTTACCATCAGGTGGACTATGTGCTCGTTAGTCACACTAATTGTATAAAAAGTGTTTTATTTTCTTTCCAGGCCGTTATAGAACACGGGTCGAAGTTGTCGTCGGAACTCGCAAGTGCATACGTTGCGAGGTGTGAAGCCGCAGTGCATTCCAGAGATCACCTCATTCAGCTAGGATTAAGGCTAGGTAAGTTACAACATGTGTAAAGTGACAAGCATGGCAACAATGCTAAAATCCCCCCTATATACTTCTGTAGGATTTAGTGGATGGATGGATAATGGAAGTTACAGGATTTTTTTCTTAATAAATTTGAAGTTTAATTATCTAACGCTTTCTTAAGAAAGGCAGATTATTTAGTCTGAATTTTATAATGAAGAGGTTAGTATTATTATTTTCAAAACATTGTCACCTTGACATCGATTGATAAAAGCACCGAAAAGCATTACTGTATTAAGTAAATATGGTATTTTGCCGCAGGCGGTTTCTTCAATGAAGCCGGCTGGTACGCGGACGCGGAGAGGGTATTGCTGCGATGCCAGCAGCTGTGCCAAGCTCAGCCACAGTCGGCGCGCTACAGGAGGCTCACACTAGAGTGCTGCCACAGGTCAGTTCATTCTCATGCTTTTTATCGGAAAACACTTTTTGGTTCAATGAATTATCATTAATTAACAAACCTTGAAACGTCTTGTTGCAACTCACATGTCTTTTTGGAGTTTACTCCTTATGAATCGATTATCATATATCGGCTATTGTATTATATTCAAATAAGATGGTGAAGTAAATTCGTTATTTTGCCTCCGCGCAGCACATTCGCGAATTTTATACTGAACACGTGTAAACATTGCGATAATTTAATTTATTTAATAGTTAAATGTTATTAGTAAAAAAATAACTGATATTTTCAAGGGTTAAAAATTAACATTATTTTTAACCAAAATTATACTATATATAAATATAAAACAAATATTTTTGGATGATAATGATGTGTATTTATTGTAGTTTCAACGATTAGAATGATTTATTTTCTTATATAAATCGATTACGTCACCCTATTAGAAAAAAATATTATTCGTTATCTCGTTAGAATGAAATAACAAGCAACACTTTGTTGTGTTGTGAATGCATAATTAATTCAAAATGGTGCCACTGTTTCTTAAGCAGTAAAGTCCAGCCAGACGTTGGAGCAGACACGCACCATTTTTATTTTTGAGAAGAGCTTGCATCAGGAATTAACTTGTTCCGGAATGAATAAGTAAGCTTTACATCTTGATTAGCTTGTAAAAAGTTCACTTATGGACATGAACCTCTACCGTTAGGGAGACGTTAGCTTAATCGCGACCCTTGGCAGGCAAGTCGACTATCGCAGTACCAGACGTTTGCCGGTCAACATGTTTTACGTGTGGCATAAACGAGATGATTATATTGCCATTTCAGAAGTCGTGAAATTTTTCTGGCGTTTCCCCTATCGCATATTACGACATCCTAGGAACGAAATGGGGGTTGTGGATATTCTTACTCCGCCACCATAAAGGCAAGCTGCATATATTCCACAAGGATTATTTTTATTTTTCATATATGCATCATTTAAGTGGTAGAGCCACGCTGCAGCTATATTATGTTTGTAACACGAATCGGTCAGCCCGACCGGGTTAGGACCACGCTCTCGCAGAATACCAACGTAAAATAGCAGCTTAATGCTGCTGTGTTTCGTATGGTGAGTGTAGAGAACCAGAGACCCTTGTTACCGGAAACGAGGCATTCTATTTTAGTCCTCAGGCGTGGCAATGCATCTGCATTTTGATTCTTAATTGATGATAAATGTAGTTGTCTATGGGCCACAGCATCCACTTAGCATCAGGTGTACTGTGTGCTCGGTTGTCTGCTTTATTCTATCAAAGAATGCATTTTCTTTATCAATTTATTAGATTTGTAGCAATTAAACTTATTATGTTAGTGGTGCTAACATCGAAGATAAAACTTTGATAATATAACTCCTGCTCTTTCATGTCGTTGTCATGTCACTATTTCAAGCCATTTGTATCGTATTGGCATTTTAAATACAAAGCAAAATTATGATACATTAAAGTACAATAGCATTCAAAGCTCTATGGGTTTATCTACTCTAGAAAGTCGTCTTATACTAAAAAAAAACTGTGTATATCTAAATATTAAATTACTATAGTACTAAAATATGTATGGCTGATTTGCCAAATAAATTGAATTAAGTTTACTTTTAAATTGTTTTAATTTATCGTAAATTTTATTTACTCTAATAAAAATAGCCACAAGTTGGGTTAAATTTCTTTCTATATAGAAATTGTTAGTTTTCAGAAATAAACATAGCATAAATTACACATGGACAGACATCCGGACCTGGAACTATTATTTGAAAGCCATACTAACCTTTTCCGTGCGGAATTCGAACCCGCGGCAGCTCCGCAACCGAACGCTTAGCCACCGCGCCATTGTCATAATCAATATAGTATCGTTGTTGTCATCAATATACTATACTGTCACTAACTCTATTTCAGATTACTAAACACACAATCAGCGTACTGCTGCTTCCCGGCTGCAGCAGAAACGTATGCCTTATCCTTACGCCTGCTGGGTTTGCCCGAAAATATCACTGAGGACTTGAGCTCCAAGCCATCCACTCTGCTCGACGAATGCCTTCAATCACTCGAAGCTGATAGTGAAGATGACGGAAGTAACAGGTTATTACCGGTTTATTTGTTACATATAGATATTTAATATATTGTAGCTCGTGATTATGAGCGAAGCTTTTTGTTTTAATGTTTCGGATATTGGAATTTCTAATTTATGTTCTATATTTGTTATTTTTCCTTGGTAAAGCCATGCTGCAGTCATAATACATTATGGTTGTAGCACGAATGGGTCGATTTGACTGGGGATGGACTACACTCTCACAGAATATCAGCTTAAAATAGCAGCTTGCTGCTGCTTTGTTTCGTATTGTGAGTATAGAGAACCACTGACTTTTTGATTGCCTCGTTAGTCTAGTGGTTGTAGTAGTGCGACTGCTGATCATGAGGTCCCGGGCTCGAATCCCGGGTCGGGCCAAAAAAATCAGTTATTGAGTTTTTCTATCAAGAAATTCTCAGTAGCTGCCCGGAGGCAGGAAGTTGGCGGTGTCTCACCCCCGTGCCTCGGAAAGCACGTTAAGCTGTTGGTCCTGCGCCTGATCTCTCTCCGGTCGTGTCGGTTTATCGTCCCATCGGACTATAAGAGTGAGGGAATAGAGAGTGCACCTGTGCTTGCGCATACACTCGGGCACTATAATCCTGTCCTGCGCAGATGGCTAGTTTCCATTGAGGCTAGCCGCCGTGACCGAAATTCGGTCTGGAGGACATTATTATTATTATAGAGAACCAGCGACGAGATCCTTTTTGCTGGCAACGAGGCATTCCGTTTTAGTCCCCAAGGGTGTTAGTGAAAGCATCTGCAATTTGATTTATAATTGAGTATTGAGTAGATGTCTATGGGCCACAGAATCTACTTACCATCAGGTGGATTGTGTACTCGTTTGTCATCCTTATTCTATAAAAAAAAACCGTTCCTATACTTAGTTTTAAAATATTTAGATATTCTATTTACAAATTTTACAATCAAGATTATAAAATGTTACCCAATTTTAAGACCAGTAGGATAATATTATTTTTATTCGCACTCAATAATCACTGGTATTTTATATAAGGTTGTCCGGTAGGAGAGTCGAATTTTCTTGAAAACATTGTAATTTTAGAAAAAAAGTAATTTGGAAATCGTGTGAAAAAAATTTAAAGGAATAATTAGACAGTCATGCAGAACAGATCCAATTAATTTGAGCTGAAATGAGTTATTACTAAAATAATCCTTAGCATCAATAATATTTTAGAGTATAGAAAAAATAATTTTGGCTTCTAGAAATAAATAAATAAATTATATTATTAGTAAAAGTCTTAGTCGATTATAAGAAAATTATAAAAATTAGAAGTAATCTTTATTGTAAAATACTTACCAGTTGTAGGTGCCAGACATCAATATGTTAAAATTTGCTTAACATGTATGGCGTCCACAGGTTGTTTTAGGTCCGTAGGTAAATGTTATTCCACGACAAACTCAAGTGCGTAATCATTTGATACGCCTTCATTACGATATCAGCATCTCAAGATCGTTGCTAATTGATTTATAATATAAAAATGAATCGCTGAATGTGTTGCTAAGCGCAAATTTTGAGAGCAGCTCAACCGATTTCGCTAATTCCTTTTTTATAATATTCCTTGAAGTACGAAGATGGTTCTTACGGAGAGAAAAATTTAAAAAATTGCCTGAAAAAGTCTAAAAACAACACTTTCCTATATTCCCATACAAAAGATGCGTAATAATACTTAAAAGTCAATTTGAACCTTAATACCATACCATAAAGTTTGTGTGTTAGTGGAGGGGTTCCGGGAAGGCAAAATAATTGAGTGATGTTAGTATTCATCGATCACTAATAAATATTAATGTCAATATTTGTCAATATTTATACACATTGGCAGATAGCTGATGTTATAAGGAGTAACTTGGGCTGCGTTTATTTTAGGGTTTTGCGAAAAATAACTCCACGCGGGCGAAGTCGCGGGGAACAGCTAGTAAACACATAAAAACAGTATCTCAAAACGCTATACTTAGGAATACTGTTCTGTGACTTGCACTTAAGTACACACACTTGAGAGTCGAGTTTCGTTTAATAATCAGTGTGGTACTCAGCTGATATCGTAAACCTAAACCGCATCTTGAGATATGTTTATTAATAAGATCATAACCTCAAGATTATATTCAAGTGCGTGTACTTGAGTTGAGTAACGTTTATTAATACGCGCCTTAATGTATATTCTTGTTTGTATAAGTTTAGTTGGAGCAAATTAAGCGTTTTTGTTAGCCATTTGCATGTTATACCGTTTTGCTGGCTTAACGTATATGTTTCCTCGTGCAAATTGTAATTTTTGCAAGTAAAATCCAGCGTGTGGCCTGACCTTCCTCCTTATGGTTATGGTGCGTGTGTGCGTGTGTGCATGTGTGCAATGTGCGTGGTTGCGCAGGCCGGCGGCGTGCCTGGCGGCGGGCTGCGCGGCGGGGTGCGGCGGCGCCGTGCTGCTGGCGCGGCTGTGCAAGGAGTTCAGCGCGCTGTACTTCGTGCGCTGCGACTACGGCGCCGCGCACGCCTGGAGCATGCGCGCGCTGGCCCTGCTCACGCCGCACACGCCCGCCAGGTACCTGCATACATGGACCTTTTATGTGTCTCCCTTTCAACTACATTATGCGCTACGCACTATATATATGTTTGTGGGCCACAGTACTTATCATCAGATGAATTGTAGACGTTTGTCACTTTTTATGTTTAAAAAAAATCTAACTGGGTTTCTTGTTTGATCTTCCCAAGACAGAGGTATTTTCTGAATCAGTGGTAAATAAAAAAAATTATTTTAAATGATAATATTATATAATAATCTATATTGAATAAAAATTATTCTGTTCTATTCTTATTCCATTAAAACATTAAGTATAGTATATTTCATTACGAGTGCGGAAAGCCTGTCATTGCAAAGGGTTCCGACAAATGTCTAACCGAGCCGAGGCGCAGCCGAAGATGAAGGTTGACAGTCGGAACAAGTTGCAATGACGGTTCCGCACGTGTACTGAACAACTATTTTTAATACAGTTGCGAAAAAATGAAGCAATTAAATAATGAACATTTTTGGAAAATGGCGCCAACCGTAAAAGAATATAAGCAGAGATATTTTTTGTTTTCTTCACCCATTCTGGGTAGGCAAAGAGAACTATGCCCATACAGCCAAGTCTTCAGTAGAATTTTTTTATTGATATGAAATGAAAATTAAATTTAATGAGATGAAATGAAATGAAACCTAACCTAACTCATTGATTCATCATTAAATCTGATATCGAAACAAATTCGTAGCTCCTTTTTAGAAATATTTGCATGAATCATAAAAACTTCTATGAATTTTTTTTTAGTAAAAACTTCGTGGTTGGTTTTTTCTTTTTAACCCATTAGAGGATGAGTCTACAACATATAGTCGGTAAAAAAAAATTAGGTCTCGTTCCTGAAACTGAAAATAATCAATGATGCTATATGGCATCGCTAGCCTCTTATGTTAGCATTTCGTATATAACTAAAATATAAGAAAAAGGAGCTCATACATTATAATCTGAGGACTTAATATTTTATGACTTTTTGAAAATAAAACAAGGATTAAGTTATTTAAAAAAATATCTGTAATTCAGTATTTTTTATATTATAAAGAGTTAAGTATGGTATTGAAAATTACAAGAAAGGCCCGAGACCTACACCACATTATTAATTTGGCTCTGACCGATTTACAGTGTGCACCTTTTCTCTTTCCCCCCTCAATAGGTCCCAGCAGATGACCTGGTATGTAATTTTAGGATCTGGACAATAAAAAAGGAGCATATTTTTGAATTTCGGATAAAATTATTTTTAAAATTCGGTATCAAGGAAGAGTTCAAGAATTTCAACTGGTATTTTTTCACGATACTGTGAGTAATCAGATACCGGAAAAATTACCATAAGATCTTGTATCCAAATTTTCGGTCTTTTTGATGTTCTAGCTTGCTATCATCAGCAGATAATGCGTCGTACTTGAAGAGCTGTCATGGGATTTTGTGGTTTTACCTTGACCGCGGGTACTTTGCCCTCATGGCATGCGACTACGCCCTCTGCCACGAGAGTGACGTCGGCCACGACCACGTATAGTTAAAGATCTACTAGTAGAGGCTACAGGACTATATAGGGATATCTTGACTAAAATCCACAAGAGAACTAGGACTTCTTCGTGGCGCTAATCTTGCCTCACATCTTGCATTTAATTGGCGTCCAGATAAATTATTAGCTTAGCCCCCCCTCTTCTTCGTCCGCTGAATCCTCATCTGTAAAGGTAGCAGGATCAGGTAGTTTAATACAAAATAACGCCGGTTTGGCTTCCTTGTCTTCTAGCACACTAATGGCTTCGTGAAGCGTACAATATCTATAAAACAATTCAAAAAGTAAATGAAATATAATAGTTATAGCGACGATAACAAATTATTATTATATAAATTATAATGGTTTGAAAAAAATAACAATCATAATTAAAAATAGAAACATAAAAATACGATTATCTCAATAAGTTTGCAATATGTGAAAAGACACGGTATTGAGCTAGCGGTGCCATACGGCATCAGCTAGTATTTTTTTTTAATATTGCTTTCACTATAAGTCACTTTTCTACAAATTACGTATCACATCATAGGTAAACTATTATTAAATATACATAAATGGTTAAACATGCATTTCATTTCATAACATGAACATAAAAGTTACTTACTTAAAAGCGTTATCCATTTTTCGAGGTCTTTTTTTGACACTAAACTTTAGAGTATTCGTAGAAAAAAATTGCGTATCCTGATTGGCTGAAACTGTCATAGAATGAACTGATAGTCCATAACCTATTGATAAGACGCGGACTAATTACATTTGATTTTGTTTTGACAGCTCAGGGTGCGAAAATTCATACCTCTCCTAAGTGATGCCAAACGGCATCGCTAGCCTTTAATGGGTTAATAGACATTATTTTGACAGTTGGGAAAGAGAACGCACGAGTTCGGAAAAGGTAAAGGAAAAGCAGGAGTACGTAATAGCCCACATCCCGAACGCTATACGTCCCTGCAATACGACACTTTTTGAGCAACTGTAATAAAAATTAACTTTCCGTGCTATGAAATCTGTCAAATTTTATACCTCATTTGAAAGTGACGCCGTCCTGATGGCAAAAATGCCCATACATGCCGTTACACAAACAAGGAATTTTTCCTGTATCATACGAGGTAGTGTACATACATAAATTTCACATAGGAAATCTAGATTCGGTACAATTATTTGTAGGCCATACAAATACTTGTTTTGTGCGAGATTCGAACCTGAGGCCCCCAGCGCCGCAACCCTTAGCTAAACAGTCAAAGTATTAAAACGTCAATAATATTATTTTGATTATGAAGTAGTGTAGTAAGTGAAAAAAAACATCATGTGTGTGTGTATAGTTAATGTGTTGTAATTGTGCGTGAGTATTTAGAATGTGTGTGTGTGTGTGGTTGGTTGCAGGGTGTGCGTGGAGGTGCTGCGCGCGTGCGGCAAGGCGTGCGTGGTGAAGCGGCGCTTCGCGGCGGCCGGCCTGCTGCTGCGCCAGGCCGTGGCGCTCGCGCGCCGCGCGCTCGGCCCGCGCCGCCCCGCGCACGCGCACGCGCTGCTCGACTACGGCTTCTACCTGCTCAACGTCGACTCCATCGCGCGCAGCGTCGCCGTCTACGAGGTGCGCACCGCTCCGCGCGACTGTACCGCGAAGCGCCATACCACGCCACGGGACTTTACCAATATACTACTGTGCCGCACGACTGTACCACACAACACCGCACCGCGCGACTGTACCGCACGACTCTACCACACAACACCGCACCGCGCGACTGTACCGCGAAGCGCCGCGGCACGCCACGCGACTTACAACATACTACAATACCGCACGACTCTACCACACAACACCACACCGCGCGACTTTACCGCGAAGCGCCGCGCCACGCCACGCGACTTCCAACATACTACAGTACCGCACGACTCTACCACACAACACCACACCGCGCGACTTTACCGCGAAGCGCCGCGCCACGCCACGCGACTTCCAACATACTACAGTACCGCACGACTCTACCACACAACACCACACCGCGCGACTGTACCGCAAAGCGCCGCGCCACGCTACGCGACTTTACCAACATAGTACTGTACCGCACGACTGTACCACTCTACACCGCACCTCGCGACTGTACCGCACGACTGTACCACACAAGACCGCACCGCGCAACTGTACCACCTTACATCGCACCGCGCGACTGTGCCACACTACACCGCACCGCACACTATCCGCGTCAGTATCCGCATTGCACTACACCGCGCAACTGTACAGCAATGTAACGCGTGACTATACCAAACCTCACTGCGCGACAAAAACTACGCTTACCCAAAAATACAGAGACTTCCATGGTGTACTAGACGGACACTATGGTACAGTACTAATACATTGCGCATTAAAGACTAGTGCTTTGTTTTGTAAACCACAAACGTTTTTTTCGTTAATCTATCACTGATTTTTTTAAATAACTAAGAAAACGCTGTCATTATTATTGTCAACGTGATTTTGAAGTTTGTTTCATATAAGTATGTTACCTTATTTCGTAAAGTTACAAAAAATAAAGTTACTACTAATAAGTTTATGTAGGCTATACATCCCACTGCTGGACGCAGACCTCCCCTAATTTCTGAGAGGATTTTAGGGCAAGGAAGTATCCGCCGTGCTACACCAATGCGTGTTGGCGAACTTCACATATCTTCGAAATATTTTTTTCTTACTTTTCAGACATCAGGTTTCCTCACGATGTTTTCCTTCACCGCCGAGCACGTGATAAATCAGCACCTAAAATTGCAATTAACAATTTCATTGGTGCCGGTTTGCTCGCGTACTGTGTAAATTTACAGCGAGCGCTAACCATCTGAACTACCACGGCTCCCTGCCCATCTGAGCTACCACGGTTCCTTATTTGGTATTTGCATAAAAACAGTAAATTTCGAATGAAAATACAACTGCGTGGCATCTTTACCGTACCTACCCTCCCGCGCCTAAGCGTGCTACAGTAGCACGGCTAGCATGGGCTGGGGACAAAAAATTTATCCCCCGATTATATCCGCTAACAAGAGATAAAATTATCTTGTCCATATGCCAAAGCACGGCAACGGGGAGAAGTATATCCCGTTTGACATAACGAGTAGACATATTGTGTTTATCCCCCACCCCGTCCGTAGCATGGAACCAAAGGCAACATAAAAAATTATGCTTTTTTACATTTAAAAAGGTCAATTTTATCCTATTTAAATAAAACTAATTTTACGGATTTTATCGCGTATGTTAATTATATTCCCGACGTTTCGAGCACTTTACAGCACCCATGGTCACGGGGAGGACTGAGGTGTATGACGTCCCAATGTCATAGTTAGCACGGCTACCTCTAGATCAAAAGTTATTAAGTTTTGTTCCGATCTACGCAGTCTGAACTTGAAGTCTTGCAGTTGTATACTTGGGTTGGGATTTAATTTTATTAATTATGGGATCCCAAGCAGATGGTAGCACTCAGCCATCTTCTGTATTGAAATTAGGATGTTTTTTGATTTTAATATCCTCGCGAATCATTCTTGGAAGGAATCGGTGTTCTTTAGCGAGGATTTGTGGTCTATCAAACTAATGTAGTGATGGGGGCGATCCTGTACGTGTTTACAGACTGCAGACTTCCCGAAGCATCGATTCTTCCCATCAGCTATGTGTTCTTTAACGCAGGTTTTTATGGATCTTTTAGTTTGTCCTATATAAGGGAGACCACTTTCACAATCAAGCTTGTACACTCATGCATCTTGCAGAGGGACATTACACTTGACTGATGTTAAAAACTGACTAATCTTCTTTGGCAGTTTGAAGTATGTTTTAATGGAAGCTCGCTTCAAGATGTAGCCAATATTGTCAGTAACGCCTCTGACATATGGCAGTACAACAGGCACTCGCTCTACTGTGGCCGGCTTCACTCGTTCACTGTGATGTAAGCGCGGGACCCGAAGCTTATTGTCGTGCAAAACTTGCTTGACGTGTTGAAACTCGGCGGCCAGGTGTTTACTGTCACAGATCACTCGTGCTCTCTGAAACAAAAATTTACCCACAGTAGCTAACTGAAGGATGGTGATGAGAATCACAATTTAAATAACTATCTGTATGGGTCTTATTCTATACACAGTGTGGCTCAAGGTGTTATCAGGATTCCGAATTACACATCTAGAAATCTAAAGAATTGTTTGCCTCTAACTCCATTGTGAACTGAATATTAGTATTTATGGAGTTAATTAACGGCTGAATGACATTCATTAAACCCCCCCCCCCCCTGACTATGGGTGCTGTAAAGTACTCGAACGTGGGGGTAACGTCGGAAATGTAAAATAAGTAAATACACCCGATAAAATCAGCACAACTTAGTTTCATTTTACTGATGTATTTTCTTCTGTCAGGAAGCACTGACGACATTACGGCGCGTGTTTGGGCGCAGCAGCCTGCACGTGGCCACGGCGCAGGAGGACCTGGCCTACGCGCTCTACGTGCTGGAGTACTCCTCGGGACGCTTCTACAAGGCCAGGGATCACGCCGAGAGGGCGATCAGAATTATCGAGGTACCACAATAAACAATACTATCTATGTAATGAAATATGGTTAAGTCATACCTTTATTTAAATCTGGTAGTACATTAGACTCCGCCAATTTTAGACCAACTTCTGTATACTACCAATATTATGTAAAATTTTTGAAAAAAATATTTTAGATCAGACCGACTTCAAAAAGGAGCCGGTATTCTTTTTTTTTTATAGGATAGGCTGACAAACGAGCACACAGTCCACCTGATGGAAAATGGTTACTGTGACCCATATACATCTACATCTATCCTCAATAAAGACTCAAGATGCGTTGTCACCCGTGAGGACTAAGATGGGATGCTTCTTTGTCAGTAAAAAGGGTCTCCGGTTCTCTACACTCACCATACGAAATACAGCAGCATTAAGCTGCTATTTTATGCTGATTTTCTGTGAGAGCGTGGTCCTTCCCCTGTCGAGCCGACCCATTCGTGCTACAACTATACTACTAATATAGCTGCAGCGTGGCTCTAAAAAGTAGTAGTTTGCGTGTGCGTGAGCGTCAGCGTGTACGTGTGCGTGTGCTTGTGTGTGTGTGTGTGTGTGCGTGCGTGCGTGCGCGCGCTCGCGTGTGTGTGTGTGTGTGTTTGCGTGTGTGTGTGTGTGTGTGTGTTTGCGTGTGTGTGTGTGTTTGCGTGTATGTTTGTGTGTTTTCGCGCGCGCGTGTGTATGTGTATGTGTGTGTGTGTGTGTATGTTCGCGAGTGTGTGTTTGCGTGTGTGTGTGTGTGTTTGTATGTGTGTATGTGTATGTGTGTTTAAGTGCGTTTGTGTATGTGTTCGTGTGTGTGTGTTTGTGTGTGCGTGTGTGTCTCTGTGTCTCTCCTCCTCCGTCCACCTCTGATATGGATCTCATTTATTATCCGAAATAAAGATTTATTATTATTTATTACTCTACTGGTAGGAGGAAGGCACATAACACTACAAGGCGGTAACTTGTATACCTAGTCAGGTCATAAATTCTGTCACATGTTTAATATAAAATAATTGAAACAAGTTTATTCATTATGTAACCATTTATATACCAAAATGAACATAACAAAACATAGATTCTTATGACATTAAAGTTTATTCAAAATGACCTCCGTGATCCTGAATACAGGCCTTCAATCTGCACGGCCAGTCGTCTATCGCAGCACGAACGAGGTCCATGTCAATATCGGCGGCTGCCTTAATCAAGGATGTCTTGAGTGACTCCAAATTGGGATGAGGCTTTGAGCACGCCTTTTCCTCCAAGTGTTGCCATATCTTGTAATCTAACGGATTCAAATCTGGACTGGAGGAGGTCTTCGTGCCGGCTGAAGTCGATTTCACGCGCCGCCAGCCAGTCTTGTGTGCTCTTCGCTCTATGTGCTGACGCCGAATCTTGTTGGAATACCCAGTGCCTGTTATTGAACATGGAATGAGAAACAGGTTCCACAAGGTTCGTCAGGACTGTATTTTGATACACAACTGCATTCGTTTTTACACCTTTCTCACAAAAATGTACCTCTGTTAAGCCCCAATAAGAAACTCCCAACCATACCATGAGCAAGGATGGAAAATGACCTCGTTGGACACGCGGAATACGGTTGCTCGCTTCTTCACTACTGTGTGCGTACACCTTATCATTTTGTTTGTTGTAGCTCTCTTCTACGGTAAAAATTTTTTCATCCGAAAAAAGAATTTCCCGTTATTTTTTTCCCGCGTACCGCTTCAACAAAGCGCGGCATCTGTTCAGTCTCAGGTCCATTAGACGAGCATTCAAACGATGTCCTGTTTTTCTTCAATATGCCCGAAGCCCTAAGTCTTCATTTAACACCCTTTTCACTGTGGTTCTGCTTAACCCCATCTGAAGGGCCAACAGTTTCTGCTTACGTTTGGGATTTCTTTGAATTCGCGCCTTCACAGCTTTTATCACTGCTGGAGTCCTAACAGACCGAGGGCGACCACTTCTTGACCTGTCATCTACACTAGAGTCTTCATTGTATCATTTGATGGTACGATAAACGAACCTTTTGGTTATATTCAAATTTTTCAGTATGTCAAAAATTTGAATTGGCGCGTAACCGCAACGATGCAACGCAATAACTGCAACACGGTCTTCTTTAAGCGTCCACTCCATATTTAAAAATGAGTAAAATTCTAAAAAACAGTTTTATTTTCATGAACAATTCGAAATTCGAATTCAATAAACTTTTTTGTGGCCAGCATTCTAAAAGAAAAGTTTTTACTGTGTGACAGTACTTATGACCTGACTAGGTATGTCAGGTAGTGTAAAGGAGATCGTATTACAGTAAAGTTAGCCAAATAAGATCTCCGTCTCATGGGACGCTCCCGTTGTATGTGCTTGGCAGGTGAATTGGTTGTTGCAATACTAAATGTATCTGACATTTGACGCTGCAGCAAATACTTTAATTTTAATCATTAAAAACATGCCTCTTTGTGTTGCAGAACTTAGTACCTCCTGATCATCTCCTACTGGCGTCAGCGAAGCGCGTGAAAGCTCTCATCCTGGAAGAGATAGCGCTCGATACTCCAGCAGGACAGGATATGAGTGGTAATATATGGACATACTGACCTCTTATCCTTTCCTCTCTAACTTAATCATAAACTGGCATTTGTCGTCTATGAGTTTTGAATGTAATATCATCATCATCATCAATACAGCCTATCAAAGCCCACTGGTGAACATGGCCTCCCCTATGGATTGCTTCACATAAATGCCTATTGCCTCCTATGTTATTGGATATTTGGCATAATTTCCATGCTTAGCAGGCGGGTTAACAACCGCAGTTGTTTATTATTTTGAGTTTTTATCATTAAGATGCTGCTGCCCATCTCCTGTGGTAGTTTCCGTTTGCCTCTTACGACACCCACGGAACGATACGGGGTAATTGGTATTCTTACAGCCCTACAACACGATATGCGGGTTGAATATGTGCATTCAACTATTTTGAACGTGACGAACTGATCAGATAAAATTTTTATCATCAGCCTGTAAGAGCCCTAGTCCTCGACTGACCTCTACCACGTTAGACATGACACTCTTTCGGGAGGTTTTGTTTTATAAAATATGGATGACAAGCGAGCAGACTGTCCACATGATGGTAACTGGTTGCTGTGGCCGATAGACATCTACATCTATTCTCGATTAAGAATCAAAACGCAGATGCGTTGTCACCCCTGAGGACTAAGATGGAATGCCTCATTTCCAGTAAAAAGGGTCTGCGGTTCTCTACACTCCCCATACGAAACACAGCAGCATTAAGGTACTATTTAACGCTAGTATTCTGTGAGAGCGTGGTCCTTCCCCGGTCGAGCCGACCCCTTCTTTCGTGCTACAATCATAATACTACCACGTCTAAAAGTAAGGGTATTTCCGTAGTCGTCTCTTACGACTCCCATGGGACGAAAGAGCAATGGCAGACTCATACAAAAAATTGGTTGAGAAGAAATGGTAGCGTCTATATACCAAAAATATCTTGAAATGTTAAGCGTCAGTCCCTTAATAACTCAGTCAAAGAATTTTGTACTGAGAAGGCGTCAAAAAAAAGATATTTACATTTGAACCTTTTTAGGTTATGTCCTATGTCACTTGGAAAAAGTCATGCTTCCTGTGGTTGTTTGATGTTAGCTTAATACATAATACATAATTGGGAGTTTTTAGATTATTGTATCTCTATTATATATTTGCATACTATAAATGTATATTTTTGGCATGGCTCAAGGGCTTTTGTACCATAGTGACATTCTCAGAAGGGCTAGAACCCAGAGCCGTAAAGCCAGTAAAAAAAACAGTGACATTTTATTTTAGCTAGTGTTGGCATAACATTAAATGGAATTGTTACATAGTACTATGATTGAGATAATGTATTATTGTAGGAAATTCTTTGTAAGAGACTTATTCTCAGCCATATTACTTTTATTTTTGTTATTACTGATACTACAGTTATTACTAATAATAACTTAATATAAAAATATTTTGTGTGTTGTGTTGGCAGTGTTACAAAGTGTATACGAAAATAGTAGGAATATACTAAATGGCAACATTTGAATAGAGTAAAATGATTTCAGTATCACAATAGAGTAAATTGATTCCCAAAAATGTTTGTGTTTTTCTGTGGTTTTAATTAAAATACATTTTTATTTGAAAAATCATAAAAAAATAATAAAACTCATTTTATATATAACTTATTTCTAGACGCTATAATTTTTGTCAACTATTTTTCTGCCATTGCTCTTTGTGTTTGTGAACCCAATGCAATGTTAGGACTTAGGACTAATACTTCAGTTTCCAGTTTTAGAATTAAAAAAAATATTAACGGTGGCAAATGAGTACCAGTCCACCTCCTGATGATAAGTGGATACTGTGGTCCATAGACAATAAACATATAACATTGATTATGATTCAAAATGTAGATGCGTTGACACCCGGAGGACTGAGAAGGAAATACTTCGATACTGCGATAAATATTATTGTGTAAGATTTAGCCATATTTTACTTAAATTAACCCAAAATTATTACTTATAGCTACGCGAATGCTACACATGGAATAAAACCACAGAATAAATAATAATACAATAACAGAAGAATCAATCACTCTTTGATAGCAAACTGGCGAGTTTTAACGTAGTTACAATGTTGCTAATGTTCATAATACTATGCACGCCTCGAAAGCGCCCTTCATGAAATTAGCCTACCGATTAAATCGTCGAAAAAAATTATTGCGGCGGCGCGCGTACGTAGGGCACTCATTAAGTTTTAAGATATACAAAAAGTACTCTATATACTATTAATATTTATTTTACATCTTTTCAAAATATTCTCCATCATGCTCAATACAAAGTTCCATTCGCGTAAACCAACTCTGAAAACACTTTTGCCAGCCTTGATCTGACAGGTCAAAAATCGCTTGTTCGTAGGCAGCCACGGCTTCTTCGGCGTTTGAAAAAAAACTTGCCTTTTATTTTTTCTTTGACTCTTGGGAACAAAAAGAAATCACAAGGAGCTAAGTCAGGGCTGTAGGGTGCGTGACTTAGAGTTTCAACACAAGATTCCTCAATAAATGTTTTTGTTCTAAAGGAGGTATGTGAAGAGGCGTTATCGTGATGCAGCATGATTCTCCGAAGCCCGGTCTTTGGTCTTCTTTCCCGCACAGCTTGAAAAGCTTTGGGTAATGCAACTCTAGTATACCATTCAGAGTTGACTGACCTGCAATTTTCCAGCATTGACGTCGACAAATGTCCGCTCCGCGAAAAAAAACTGGCCACCATTTTTTGCCGACTGCGAGGTCTTTGCAGTTTTGTCGGTAACTGTCCTTCTGACTAGATTCATACCGATGATTGCCTTTTATTTTCCGGATCATATTGATAGATCCATGTCTCGTAACCAGTAACGATTTCTGAAACACGCCTAGATGCCCCGTTTTCAATACGTAGACATACTTCGTGGCACCAATCCACACCAGTCTGTTTTCGCTTTCGGAGAGCAAACGAGGGATCCGTCGACAACAAAGCTTCCTCACTCCAAGATGTTGATGTAGGATGGTATGAATGCTCCCCGACTTACAATATTTTCGATGTCCGTATATGTGATTCGTGGGTCTTCTCGCACCAACATATCGGTAGTCCATACATTTTCTGCCGTTACTGCTGTTACTGCTGTTTGCGGGGCCCCGGTTCCTTGGTCATCTTTAAGATTAACTTTACCCATTTTGAATTCAGCAAACCACCTAAAAATTGTTGCGCGTGATGGAGCTGATTGTAACCGTTGTAAACTTAATTGTCTGGTTTAAAAATCATAATATATCATAGCGCGCAAATAGTCACAGTTAAGATCCATCGTTTTAAATGAAAAATGCGGGAAGCGTTGCAGGATAATTAATAGACCTTTGTTTTTTTTTAATAGTGAGCAATTGGCTTATGGAGTTCTATTTTTAAATAAATTTGCTTTTTAGAGACATATAACACGGGTGCGTTCCATTTTTAAATTTCGAGCATCTCAAAATATATTTAGTAGTAACCTACGTATTAAACCAAAATGCACCTTACGTCCGCGTGCGAGAGTCTGTATCACTTAGTCCGTTACGCGCCTTTCTTAAGGCCGCTCCTACTGTAGGGTTAGGTGTTGTGAGAAAACAAATTGAATCCTTTGATATCAGATGGTATATAGTAGAATACCTAGGTGTTATGCAATGTATTAGTAATTTGCAAATAATAATATGCAACTATTTGTTAATACTATTCTTGGGGCGATGTATACGCTTTTACAGCAAAATTCCAGGAAATATACAAAATTTGACCTGCTCAAAGTTCAAAAACTTTATTAAACTAAGTTTGTATAAAAAGGGTTATTATAATATTAAAGAATTTATAGATGATAATAACCCCTGGAAATGAGGTGATCGCTACCAAGCTATTTCTAATTTGTTGCGTTGTTAATTTGTGTAACATACATGATTGTAAGCTGTTATTTAAAAAAAAAGTCCCGCTGGGTTTCTTGCTGGTTCTTCCCAGGACAGAGGTTTTTTTTTTTCGAACCAGTGGTAATTATACAAAAGAGTGACTTTTAATAAGTATTATTTATAATCTATATTGAATAAAAAAGTTTCTGTTTCTAATTATAGGATTCTAAGCATCTGCTTGGGATCCCATAATTAGGTAACACCCAGCCATCTTCTCTATTGAAATTCTTGGTAGGCATTGGTGTTCTTTTGCGAGGATTTGTGCTCTATTAAATCTGATATAATGGTTGGGACTATCTTGAACATGTTCACCTATCGCAGACTTCCCGGAGCAATCAAAAATTAATAATTAAAAGTTGAAGGTAACCTTCGTTAACTATGACTTTCGGACGTCAAACATTTCAGAACACCCCCCTCACCCCTCCCCCTGCCGTAAAGTGCCCGTAACATCGAGAAACAAAAAAAGATAAAATTAAACGCGATAAAATCCGTAATATTAGTTTTATTGGTATTATAATATACTAATATTACTATTATAATTAAGGCCCATTCATTATAATAGTAATATTAGTATCTTAATTAATGGACCTTGCAATCTAGCGATCAAGTCTAAACATTCAGTAGTAATAACTGTGTGATTGTTGTGTGTAGAGCCAAGCCTGCTGGAGGAGTCCGAAGCGCTGCACAAGGCGGCGCTGGCGCTCTCCACGCTGGCCTTCGGCGAGAAGAACGTGCAGACCGCCAAGCACTACGGCAACCTCGGCAGACTGTACCAGAGCATGCAGAAGTTCCAGGTACACATACACAACACACACACACACACACACACACACACACACGTGCACGCTCACACATACACATTTACGGACATACACACACGCGCATGCACACACACCCACGCACGCACGGACACTACCACACACGTGCGCACACACACACACACACACACAGCATTTTAATTTATATTCATCTTTACTTATTTTCCTCAAACACAACTTCCCAGCTGTATCCTTATATGTAGTAATTATAGTTATAATCTGTTCCAGGATGCGGAAACGATGCACTTGAAGGCTATCGCGATAAAGGAGGAACTGCTGGGCGCCGAAGACTACGAGGTGGGGCTGAGCGTGGGCCACCTGGCCTCGCTCTATAACTACCACATGAACATGCACTGCGCCGCGGAGAAACTCTATCTGCGCTCCATAGCCATTAGTAAGTTTCAACCATTCATTTATGTTGTTATAGGAGAGGGGCTAACGAACACGCGGCTAACCTGATGTTAAGTGACTACCGCCGCCAATGAACAACTGCAACACAAGGGGAACCAGCTCTTTAAAAAGGAGTAAGCTCTTTTCTTAAAGGTCCCTAAGTCATAGTCGAAGGTCCGAAAAAATCGCTTATGGTAATCGATTCCACAAGGAAGTTGTACGAGGAAGAAAACATCTTCTAAATCGCACAGTGGTGGACGTGCGTTCGTGAAATTTGGCGGTTGGGATTAATCCGAACAATTCCTCAGAGCACTCCCCGTGGTAAATGTGAAAGCAAATGCAAAGGGATGCATTATCTCTTTGCAGCGCTAATGAATCGAGTCGATCGGAAAGGACTCTGTCGTCGACGATTCGAGCCGCTTTGCGCTGGATGCGGTCAAGTGGAAGGAGCTGACACTGGGGAGCCCCTGTCCAGAGATGGGAACAGTATTCCATGTGAGGCCGAACTTGCGCTTTGTCAAGTTGCAAGCGATGTACCGACATGATATACTGTCTCGCTCTGCTGAGCACGTCAAGCTTTTTAGAGGCCAATTTGGCCTTTCCTTTCCAAGTGACCACGAAACTGCACACTATTCGATATCTCGACGCCGAGGATTCCGATACTGGCTGAGGCAACAAGGGGAGTGCCTTGAAACTGAGGAGGTACGACAAAGGGGTACTTTTTAGCGGTAAACGCACAAACTTGTGTCTTCTGAGGATTAAACTGGACTAGATTTAGTTGCCCCCAATCCGAGACTTTGTTCAGCAAAGACTCGACTTCAGTCACAAGTTTGTTCCGGTACTCGGCGACGTTTTCCCGAGAAATATTGGCACGGCCGGTGTATAGTGCTGTCATCCGCATAACAATGAATGCTACCAGTTTGCAACATATCATTCATATGCAGAAGAAACAGCGTTGGTGATAGCACACAGCCTTGTGGAACACCAGAGTTAATAGGCTTGTAGTCGGAGCATGCACCGCCTACAACGACCATCATGCTCCGATCTGCAAGGAAGCTGGTGATCCAATTGCACAATTTCTCGGGAACCCCATAGGATGGGAGCTTAGGAAGAAGCGCTTTGTGCCAAACCCGATCGAAGGCCTTCGCAATGTCCAAACTAACGACCAACGCCTCCCCCTTGGAATCTACTGCCTCCGCCCATCTATGAGTCAGGTAGACTAGAAGATCACCAGCTGATCGACCCCGACGAATACCGTATTGGCGGTTATTTAAACTAGAACAGTAGAACCAGAGTAATCCAACCAGAGTAACCAGACATAGCCCAAGGTTTGTAAGCTGAAGTGGTAATGGGCCAGCCATCTAGTTCGAAGAACCTGCAACCGATGTGGAAGAAAGGTTTTCTAGTGGCAGCCTCGTATTGATAGGCGCAGGCGCGAGCAGTAATGATGATGATTATGATTTATTTAAAATATTTAACATAAACATTGTACACTAGACCAACGAAGCAGTACTATACCTAATAAGATATTGTGGTTGGGTATTAGGATTATTTTTAACTGTATACTATACTGATAATATTGAATTAGCCTTTTATAGTGTAAATTATAATATTTGTCATGCATTAACAATTCAGTAGTATCCACACGAACTGGCTAACTCTGAACTCGATCTTCCCTATAATATTGTAGTGTTTGGCTCGGTCACTGTGTTTTCGACAGCCGAGCTTATTACTGAATGACCACCTCGAGCACTTCCATGTGACGGAAATTTTTCTCTGATTGGTGGTGCACGTGCGGTAATTTCTTGTCTTTGCAAACACGGTAAACACTGTAATATTGCGCCATTTCATATTCACGCGGTTCGAATATTTTTGTTACGTCATTGGTAACAAGCGTACGTAATGAGGTCACGGTCAACACTGTCAGCTGTTGGCTTGGCTGGGCGAGCCATGAAGCAAATACAAAGAGAGGAGACGTTGTAATTCAATTTCACTATGAAACAACGCGTGACAATTTGCGGGGTGAGGGGATGCAAAGCCCCGCCCACTACACTATCTACATCTACCGATAAATAGTAAAACTACTCGAATCTTTCCATATCAATGTGTCAATGTAGCTTAGCTACCTTGACGGTAGATCGCGGCATATCCACAAAATGTTATAAACTAAAATATAATATTTTGTCGATTAAAATTTCTTTATGTCTGAATGCAAAACTAATTTTAGCACCTTCGTATGATTATTTTATCATTACTGAGCTCTACGTACCTTTATATTTTTAGTTCACAGGACACAAAGTGTCGCCATCTAGTGTGGAATATATTTAATTATATTTGAAAGCCAACGCAAGGAGATTTTTCTAGAACTATTTTAATAAATTAGGTGTAAAATTAGTTACAAATGAAATGTGATGCCATCCATAGCATCGGAGTGTCTATCTCATGAAGTAAATACATTCAGACAAAGAAATTTTAATCGCCGAAATAATATTTTTATAGTTTTCATAATAATTTTGGGAACAGGCCGCCATCTATCGTCAAGTAAACCTCATAAAAAATAACAAAAAGACAGGGCCGCAATTAGAATTCAGTTATTTTACCCAGTAAACCAACATTCAATATTAAAATGAAGGAAATTGTACTTGGCTGATTTTTACGAAATGTTTAAGTTGTATTTAAGTGACATTCTATATGCAAAGAATCACTTAAATACAATTTAAATATGTTTATCATTTCGTGAAAGTCAAAAAATATTTATTTTATCCATAAAATAAAGTCTCTTTGAAACTAAATATTCTATGTTCAATATTAAGTAGGATATTTAATTTGGAACTAAATATCCTATTTATCTCACTAATATTATAAAGGCGAAATTTTGTGTGTTCTTTCTGTCTCCTTGAGCTTATTCCACAGAATAGAATAGAATAGAATAGAATGATTTTTTATTCAATATGGATTATTACATAATACTTATTGAAAGTCATTATTTTATTTACCACTGGTTCGGAAAATACCTCTGTCCTGGGAAGAACCAGCAAGAAACCCAGCGGGACTTTTTTTTTTTAAACATAATTTCACTTAACAATAATTTTGTTTATACAATTTTAAATGAATTTTCATAGAACCAGCATGGTGGCGATCACCTTATTCCCAGGGGTTATTTTCATTCATGTATTCCTTGATATTATAATAACCCTTTTTGTACAGTTTTTCTTTAATAAAACTTTTAAACTTGTTTATTGACAAACTTTGAACATGTTCTGGGATTCTGTTGTAAAAGCGTATACATTGCCCCATAAATGAATTACTAATTCTGTGGAGTCTTGTAAGTGGCATTACAAGCTTATGTTTGTTCCTAGTGTTTAAGGTATGAACATCCTTATTCTTATTAAAGCTATTTATGTTTTTATGTACATACATTACATTTTCATAAATATATTGCGATGCCAAAGTTAATATGTTTATTTCTTTAAATTTTTCTCTAAGGGACTCTTTACAATTTAGATTATAAATCGCCCGTACGGCTCTCTTTTGCAAAACAAATATAGCTTCAATATCAGTCGCATTACCCCATAGCAAAATTCCATAAGACATTACGCTATGAAAGTAACTAAAATACACTAACCTAGCTGTCTCAACATCTGTGAGACTTCTAATCTTTCTTACAGCATATGCTGCAGAACTAAGTCTGCTTGCTAATTTAGATATATGGGGGCCCCATTGAAGTTTCGCGTCAATAGTAATACCGAGAAAAACAGTGGTATCCACAAGACTCAACTCCTCCCCATTTAAGAGCACATTGGTTTTCGAATGTTTTACATTAGGTATTGTAAATTTAATACATTTTGTCTTATTGCCGTTTAAGAGCAAATTGTTGGCGTTAAACCAATGTACTAGTTTCGATAGAGCATTATTTACATCGTCATATTTAATTGACTGCCGTTTCAGTTTGAAAATTAAAGAGGTATCGTCAGCAAATAATACTATATCGTGATTGTCCCCTACAAGATAAGGTAAGTCATTAATATAGATTAAGAACAGGAATGGGCCAAGAATCGAGCCCTGAGGAACGCCCATTGATACTACTGATCCGGAGGAACATTTACCATTAATGACGACTTTTTGAGTTCTGTTACTTAAATATGAAGTAATAAGTTTAAGCGCCAAATTTTTTACACCGTAATGTTGTAGTTTCCTGATTAATGTATCATGATGAACACAATCGAAAGCCTTGGAAAGGTCACAGAAAACACCTAAGGCATCTTGTGAATTCTCCCAGGCATTAAAAATATATTTCATAAGCTCAACACCAGCGTCAGACGTCGAGCGACCCCTTGTAAAACCAAATTGATTTTTATGAAGTAATTTATTTGTATTAAAAAAAATTAACAATTGATCCAAAATTATTTTTTCAAAAATTTTACTGAGAGTTGGTAGTACAGAAATAGGTCTATAATTAGCGGGGTCCAATGTACTACCAGATTTAAATAAAGGTATTACTTTACTATACTTCATTAAATCAGGAAACACACCAGAATCGATACAAGTATTAAAAATAATAGCAAGATGAGGTGCAATTAAATCTATTATGGACGCAATCACTGTAACGGAAATCCCCCACAAATCTGCGGTTTTCTTTACATCAATGGTTTTGAAGTATTTTACAATATTATGCGGTAATACTTTTTCAAATCTAAATTCTTTTAAACAGGTATTAACATTCTGTTTAAGTAATGATTCGGCGACAGTTGGAGAAGCATTCAATGACTCTGTTGTCAAGATAGGAACATCAGTGAAATATTTCTCAAACACCGCTGCAACTTCTTGATTTGATTTAGTCAATTCATTATTAATTTTTAATTGATAGTTTCAATAATTGGTAAGTATGTACTGTGTATGTGTAATTTTTTCACGCAGAAACGGCTGGACTATTATTTATCTGTGGGTTATACTACTTAATATCTCTGAGGGAGAACAAATAATAGACAAATTATTATAATTAAC